GTGGGATATAGAGGGATGATTGATGGGTGTGCTGGGGGTGGACATAGAGGGATGATTGATGGGTGTGCTGGGAGCGGGATATAGAGGGATGATTGATGGGTGTGCTGGGAGCGGGATATAGAGGGATGATTGATGGGTGTGATGGGGGCGGGATAACGGCGACCAGGACAGATACGAAGGGTGCATCTACCTAATGGGGACAGCAATAAAAACCTGACCGGGGGTCTAATCCCTCCCCACTGCTATGAATAGGACTGATAAGTATTTGTAGATATTATATTATTTTCCAGTACACCGTTTATGATTCTTGATGGTGGACAGGAAATAACGCACGCTGCTCCTTTATAATTACATCCTCCATGTTCCTTAGACTAACAAGTCCTTTTATTTGTCTTCCATCCTGTGTTTCTGTGTCACCCTCAGCCTCGGACTCAGAACCTCCCTCCTACGTCATCCTCAATATCATCAGATTGATCCTGGGGGTCCTGGTACTTCTGGCCGCCCTGTATGTCTTCTTTTCCAGCCGGGGTGAGTACTACTTCCCCCACCCTCCCCGTGTCCCCTCTATAGAATATCCCTCCATGGGGGGGTCATTGTTTGATCTTTTCTTTCTGCAGGTGTTCTCTCTGTGAGGAAGACATGATGTCCATCCTTGGACTCACCTGTTACTTCCTGCCATATCTTATCATCCATGGTTCTGGAGAAGATTGGATATCGGACCTAACTGAGAAGAATCCATGGAAGTCTCCTCCTTGCTCTGCTTCTACCTGAGATGTTCATCCTCCTGTATATGACTTACCAATGGAACATGTCTATGGCGGTTGTAGAACGAGTTTGGTAAATCTGCTGACAAAGCTCACGAAGGTCTCCTCACATCCTCCCAGGTCTCCTCACATCCTCCCAGGTCTCCTCACATCCTCCCAGGTCTCCTCGCATCCTCCCAGGTCTCCTCGCATCCTCCCAGATCTCCTCACATCCTCCCAGGTCTCCTCACATCCTCCCAGGTCTCCTCGCATCCTCCCAGGTCTCCTCGCATCCTCCCAGGTCTCCTCGCATCCTCTCAGGTCTCCTCGCATCCTTCAGTCACTAGCCAAGGCTTGAGTGTAGGGTAAACAAACTCTGGTTTATTGAACAACTGCACAAACTTTTATACAGCAAGTGATGAAATCAGAATATAATCCCATCACATCCCCCCTCCCCCCCCCAGACCATCGGTCTGCTCAACACCACAGGTGTCCACCTGCTAACGAGCTCCAGACAGCCATAGCAGGAGCCTGGCCAGAATGTCATTGTTCTGAGCTCCCTCAGAGAACAATGGGAGATAACGAGGGATGGTGCTGATAGTCTTTCCATAACCAGGTCACACAGCATAACGCACTCACACATAACTCAACACCAATACACATTTACCTCATAAACTCATCACCATGTCGTCACACAGTCGTCTTATTAATCTCGAATATTTCCTGTCCGCGGAGGAAGTCATCATGTCACTTCCTCTCACACAGATCTCCTCAGTCCCGCACATTGACTACTCATCCTGCATCCCATGTGGGTGAAGGTCTGCCAGATAAAGGCCGACTCCCTCCATAACTTCTTCGAGTGGGAGGAGTTAGAAGAGGTGAATGATGAAACATTTGTTCAGATGGTAACCGGAGATTCTCACACCCAACACTTCTGAGATATAATTTTTCCGATGTCTCCTGTTTGGAAATAAGAAGTTAGACTGAATGGAGACTGCAGGCCGGGAGATGAGAAGATGTTCTAATATTTGTTGGGTGTGTAGCGCCCATCACCTTTTGTGATCTGCCTACTAAGCATTTAGTGATAGGCGGGGCTGTAGTCGGCCTGGCTGGATTTGTAGTGGCGATTATATGGTTAATCCCAGGTGTCTAACCTTGCCTGTACCCCCCCTGGGCGGAGTGAGACTCTGTCATATTGTGGGACAGCCAATAGGAGACACAGTAATATGTGTACAGTACAGCAGCCAATTACTGGGCTTTACTCAGCCAGTGGTGCATGCTGGGGCAGGGTACATATATGGGTGGGAGCTGCCATGTGCTCAGACTAGCCGGGACCAGCCATGGGATAGGGCTGAGTCCTGTTCAGCCTTCCCCCCAGGCTAGGCCAAGGCCTGGGGGTGGGCAGTGGCTGAAGTGAGGTTCCCCTGAGGCCTGTAAGATGGAGAGAGGAAAAGGACCAGGACCAGTGCAGGCTCTTGAAGTGCCCTGGATCTATGCGGACTTCAGAGCATGGTCTAGAACCCCTATACCCTCTCTCCCTAATTAGAAGTTCAATAAAATGTTCAACTAGCATCATATCACTGAAGTGGACATTCATTCACTCCTGTATACTCCTATATACTCCTGTATACTCCTATATACTTCTATATACTCCTGTATACTCCTATATACTCCTGTATACTCCTATATACTTCTATATACTCCTGTATACTCCTATATACTCCTGTATACTCCTATATACTTCTATATACTCCT